CCATCCTGAGAAGGATGTTGAAGGTAGTCAGTAGGACTAGTGGTGTAAACCTCAGTCAGCTCGTCACTACACTAATTGAAAGGCATCTGAATACATGCGAAAAATGGTCAAAAACCATACTCTCCGACCCCCAACACCCCCTCTATTCCCAACGCTCGCTTTGTATCTCATCAAGTAAAACCAGAAATCAGTATAAAATAATCTATGCTCGTACAACCAAGTACAGGAACTCAACGATACCATACTTGGCTCGTGTTCTAAGCGACAGAGACAATGTTAAGCGTGAAACCTATGACTTGCTTTTTTGTTAACAACATAATTTTAGGCTCTTTTATTTCTCTCTTATTTTGTATTCTATAGTGAACTCCTTCTCAAACATACTTAGCTACCTAAATTATTACCATTGGCTTCCTTTTTTGTACTTTACTATATTCCTTCTATTGTGTATCCACTGGTTCCGAATATATTAGCTCTATGAGTAGTACAAAATTGTCCTGTCATTAGCCATCATGTAATCATTAGTTTTGTGGTTGTTTTTCTATACTTTTCGGCAATATCAAACTGACAATCATTGGTTGTGAACGCCATAGTCACCACCTCAAAAAATTTTTCTACTATTCAGGATTACTCACACTACCACTACAAACACTGCATTAGACCTGACAATAAAAAACAAAACAACAACCCTGAAATGTTATTTTATGATTGTCCAGTGTTGTTTCAACCTAAATTACCTGATCCTCTTGGCGATAAACATTCTTAAATATCATTTCATAACTTCTTGTATGATTATAGCTTTACTGTCACCATGCATAATTATATCATAGCTTCCACTACCCAATACTGAGATATTATTTTATGTTGTTTATTTTCCTTTCTACTTCTTGGTATTTTTTTTTCACTTTTTTAAAATTATTTTGTGTTTGCTTTTTTGTTGTTGTTGTCTTTATATTTATTTTTTGAAATACTCCTTTTAAATGTTTGATAAATTAGATGCAAATATTGTAAATATGTGCTGAAAATTCCACACTGTACCACTAGTACTGTTTCTGGAATAAAGCAACTTATTATTATTCTATTAGTTGGTATATTTGGTCTATGTCAACATGTTTGTTAATTGTATATTCGTTTGAGTACCAGGCTTCTAGGAATTCTCTGGCACTTTTGGTGTTTCTTTTGTCTAAAATTTCTACATTATCCCAATCAAACTGATGTCCATAATTATCTATATGCATTGATATGAAAGACTATATATCATGTCTTTTCACGGCTGATTTGTGTTTCTGGATTCTGATTCGAAGATGACGCACACTTTGACAGATGTAATGTCTGTTACAGTTCATACAATTCACTTTGTAAACAGTATTGATTTTATCCCCTTTTTCTGTTGGGTGTATCTTTCTGTTTGCACAATATCAAATGAAGTGATTGCGCTGGCTGGCTTGTTTGCTTTATCTATTTCAAACAGTTATAATATTCTTGCTGTTATTTCAGAGATATTTTTTATATATGGCAGGATGAATTTTCTTGTGTTCTTTGATGATGGTTCCTTGTTGGTGTTGTGATTCGATTTTAAACACTTTTTGATGAAATTTTGTGGATATCCATTCTTTTTGAAGACCGTTTGTAGGTATTTTTCTTCCATTCTTTTCAACGCCGGAGTGCTACAATGTGTCTGAACTCTTTTAAACAATGTTTGCACACAGTTTCTTTTGTGAGTAATTGGATTATTGTTAGTATAGTTGAGTATTTGATCTGTGTGTGTGTTAACTGTGTCAACGACAATCCGAGTGTTTGACAAATAATCAGTATGTCCCTAGAACTAATGTCAAGAATTATCGGGCAATCGTAACGTCTTATATCTGTGCAAAATGTTATTGAGTGAATGTGTAGTTATGGTTACCTTGATAATGCTTTATTTGTTTACATTCTCATAACTGGTTTAATTTGTTTTATAGTGATTAATTGAGGTGTTATGCCATATGTCATTTTTCTGTTTAGCCTTATTGGAAGTTAACGCAATCACTGATATCTAACGATTGTGGGTTTGTAAACCACAATTTTGATAAGGAAAAAAAAGCTTGTCAATCCAAAAGGCATATTTTTTGTTAAATGCACTTTGATACTTGACTGTTCAAGGTTTTTTTAAAAATATTTTTGCTGTACCTAACCAGCCATGTAGTGGGCGCTTGAACTGGCTTGCACATAGCTTTGATTTGGACACACATTTTCTACTTCAGAAAGCTTATACATCATGGTGTCGTAATTCTTTTTTCTGTCTTTTATTTTTCCTTCACGTCCCCAGTGGAACATAGGGCTTCAAGCTAGTGGCTTGAAGTTTCTGTAGCAGTGTTTATTTTATAGGATGGTGTTGCTAGCCTCATGCCCAACCTTCCCTCTTTACCAGGATTATTTCTCGCTCAGCGAGGTAAAAGAGTGCGTCGGCCGAGGATCGAACCCCGGAAAATGTTCATGGTCGGCGAGCGTCCTAACCACTACGCCACCGACGCCACTGTCTGAATTTATCCCAATAAGTCTTGGAGGAATGTCTTGGAGCGTCTTCCACATTTCAAACTGTTTTAGAGTGACTGCTATGGGATCAGTTAGGACAAAGAAACCGGGGAAGTTCGACTGGACACTAACTACTATCATGCGTATAGCCCTTTGTTTTCTGCAGACTGAATGCTATCAGTCAGGCCTGAAATGTAGCCACCATTCTGGGTGAATCACCATCAAGCAGCACTCAGGATTCTCGCTATTATATGGTTGGAAACGATCAGCAGGAATCCTCGCACCTAGTTTTCGTGCTACCTGCTTCTCGTCAACATGGCATATCTGTAATATTAAAGGGACTAGGGAGGACACGATTCCCCTCAAGATTGCATGAACACCTTTCGGATGAGTGCAAACAAGCACAAAACCTAAATCTTAGGCTTCCTGCCGACTGCCTGTAACCATGTAATAACGACAAACCAGGGTAGGTCAGAGTACACTGTAATAAGCAAAATCTTACTTAGAACTAATATTTTCCTAAAGCGCCTTACTAGCCTTCTTTATACTTCATATCCATGTGTGTTAGCAAGTATCTGTTTTTTATTGTATCTGTTCAATGCGTTCTGTAAATTCGTTTATTTTTATTTCATGAAAAATACCCATTCGAACATTAATAGACAGAAGATCAGTAGTTCAGCGAAGAGTCTCTTTTCGGCGGCGAATTCATTTTCATAGCTGCACAATCGCAAATATATATATGGTTGTTTTGTGTGTGTGTACATTAAATTTGCCAAACGCAAATACAATTAGTAAGTTCAGATGAATTGGATGTTGATATAAGAGGGCAGAAACAAAAGTGATGAGTTGTCACAAACGGTTGTTAAAAAAGAGTTACGTGATAACATGAATAGTTTGATGAAAGAGCGGTACTCAGGGTGTACATGGAGACAAAATAGCATACGGAACTACTCAAGAGTTTTAAGTAGGTAGAAAAAGTAAGCGAACAAGCTAAAGTTAAGTCAAATCAACAGAGTTGTTACCATGAGAGTAGAAGTGGTTGAATAATTTTCTTTTGTATGCATACATCTGGTTCTTGTAGCTGAATGGTTAGGGCTTCTGCATTGCAAAGAAGACGGAAACGTATTGTCTTTGGCAGGTTGTTCTTCACTTTGAAGATTAATTTGAAGGGGGCGTTCGTTGAGATGGTATGACCAGCGGTTACAAGATGTTAGATTATTGCACTCCTTATACGGCCACTACTTCCTTTCTGCAGCCACGCTGGATAGTGTTGTTTGACCCTTTTTGACAGGATGCGCGTCGGACGACCGATGTACCTAGCTCCACAGCAACAGGTGAACTGATATATATATATATACGTATAAGTGGTCAAGTGCGGGATCTTGTCCTTTGAGCTTCTGTAGATAAGTGGGAGACTGGAGAACACTACTCTCAATGTTGCTGAATAGAAAGTTCTTCTTTAAAGAAGCGGAAATTCTCCTCCACCAAGACGTCACTGAGTAGATCACCTTTATATCAACATCCAGTTCATCTGAACTTACTAATTGTATTTTTCTATGAAGAAAGGAAGACAAAATTTGCGGTATAAAATGATATCATTCTTTTTCACAGGTTCTCATCAGCTACAGACTACTTGAAATTACAATGGTTATATAAATGATAATAACATACTTTAATGTTTGAGTGGTAGTAGAGAAGAGATACTACAAAATTGACGCATCCAAAAAAGAATGAAAGCATTACAATTTTAAGTTTAAGTTATCATCATCAATTTATACACTTTTAAAGTTGAAAAGAGGGGAGAGGGGTAAAACAGAAAACAGAAAAATTGATTAACAGAAACAGTATTAGCTTGTAGGTTCACATAGCAACTCCAAAAAACAAAGGCGGTTACAGTTTATGAGATTACTCACTGAACAAATCTTAATCTCATAAACTGTAACCGCCTTTGTTTTTTGGAGTTGCTATGTGAACCTACAAGCTAATACTGTTTCTGTTAATCAATTTTTCTGTTTTCTGTCTTACCCCTCTCCCCTCTTTTCAACTTTAAAAGTGTATAAATTGATGATGATAACTTAAACTAAAAATTGTAATGCTTTCATTCTTTTTTGGATGCGTCAATTTTGTAGTATCTCTTCTCTACTACCACTCAAACATTAAAGTATGTTATTATCATTTATATAACCATTGTAATTTCAAGTAGTCTGTAGCTGATGAGAACCTGTGAAAAAGAATGACGATATCATTTTATACTGCAAATTTCGTCTTCCTTTCTTTATCGAAATTTATCAAGGGAACCAGTTGTATAATTGTATTTTATTTTATTTTTATTATGAACCATAAAGTTAGCAAGTTAGAAAATGAAATCCACTCACTAGTTCACACCTATCCGTGCATACTGTAGACGACTAATGTGCAATTGTCAAATGCATATAGAATAACATTTCATGATGCGATCATGGTTTTTTGTTTTGTTTTGTATTCCTTAGCAATCATACACAACGTTTCATTTCAATGTTCTACTGCTTTTTAATATTCTCCATTGGTTTGTCAATCACACTGTATAATACTGGAAAAAAAGTGGTCGAAAAAGAAAGCTCATTTGTGGTAAGTTAATAAAATAATAATAATAATAAATAAATAAATTAATTAATTGATAAACCAGTTCTAGTCATCTACACTTAATTCATTTAAAACTTTTTTATACAGTTGAAATATAATACACGTTGTACAATTTCTGTATTATTGATCATTTTCATGACATACTGGGCCTTTAATCACAGAAGTGAATATGCAAAGAACCAATTATTCAAAAGTCATTACTGATATAAGTATAAAACTTGCGCACTGTGGTGGTAGAGTATAACTCCATTGTGGATAAGATTTTATTTTGATAAAGTGTCACACAGTGTTGGTATACAGTAATATTAACTGATGACCACACACTTCGAGCACAAAATATTGCCACTCATAATCATATGAAGTCACTCACTCACACAACGTTTTTCCTTCATTTATGCACATGTGTGGAATCGATGATTAGATATTGGAATAAAAATCAATATGGGATAATGTACATTCAGAAATAATAATAATATGAGTGTTAATGATCAATTACAATCAGATGGGAAATAAGACGAGTGTATATTTTATAGTCAAAATAAGTAACTTGTTAGAATGTTCTGATGTGCTTGAATTGAAATAGAATTTTGAGATTATTTATTACCCTCTTCTGATTTGAATGGCAGTAATAATATCTTCGATAACTCCGGTATTTTCATTGAGTCATTTTTGTTGCATGTGTTGGGTGTAGACTCGATGAATAAGGATTCCGTAATCAACACCTCTCTATATTTACCTAGATTACCTTTTAGAATTTTAACCCTCTCCCAGCCTATTGTGTGGTTGTACTCTGTTAATGCATGCAGTTCAATCTAGTGCTAAGCTTTTTTCTAAATTACTTATCTTCACTGGTGGGGTAAACTATTCTAACCTTAGCTAAATTCTTATGTTCCGATAATTGGACTACTCCGACCTACTAGTTTGACTGACCTATGTAGTTGACCTTACTCACAGTCATTGCAAGGTATTCAATTCAAGCACATCACAACATTCTAACAAGTTACTCATTTTGACTATAAAAAACCAGTCGTCTTATTTCCCATCTAATTGTGATTGATCAATAACAGTCATATTATTATTATTTCTGAATTTACATCATCCTATACTGATTGTTATTCAAATATCTAATCATCAATTTCACACATGTATATAAATGAAGTAAGAAAAATGTGTGAGTGACTTGATTTGATTATGAGCGGTAATAAATTGTGCTCGATAGGTGGTCATCAGTTAATATTACTGTACAACACTGTGTGACTTATCAAAATAAAATCTTATCCATAATGGAGTTATTCAAAAGTCATCAGCATCAGAAGCGTTTTATTTTGACAAATAGAGATACTTAAGTAAAATCAGTTAGATGTAAACCATCCAGGTCAGAGAACACCAATGCACCAATATCATCTATATAAAGCTGCAAATCTCAAATGGAGACAGAAATTTCAGTCGTATGAAGATTCATTTTAACTAATAAGTAGAATTATTATTATTTCCTTTAATTCCTAGGGGAACATAGAGCTTCAGCCGTGCGTCTCCACTGCGTTCGGTTCTCTGCTAGAGTCTTCACCTGACTCCAAGTCTGCCCACACGCTTTCATCTCCTCTTCACATGACCTCCTCCAAGTCACCCCACCATCTCACTGACGACCAACTCGCCGCTTCCCTTTCGGGTTCCACTCGAGCAATGGCTTGTCTAGTGATGTCACTTGATCGTTCCCTCAGAGTATGGAAAATCCATCTCCATTTCTTCCTGCCTATTAGTTTCACAATCAGTTCCTGGTTGGTTTACTCCCACAGGTCCATACTGCTGATCATTTTGGCCATTTGATCTTGAGTAGTATTGATCGAAGACAGCTGTCAATGAAGGTCTGTAGTTTGTCTGAGACGCTCTTTATGACGCGCAGTGCAAGTCTCTGATCCGTATAGTAGCACTGACTTCACATTGGAGTTGAAAATCCGGATATTATTTTTGATGCTGAGAGTTGTTGATCTCCACACAGACTTGAGAGTAATGAAAGCTTGTCTTGCTTTTCCGATTCTTGCTTTGATATCCTCGTCAGTTCCGTCTACCTGTAGTTGAGACGATGCTTCTCAGGTAGGTAAAGGAAGTAGTTTCTTTCAGGTTCCTCCCATTTATGCTGGCTGATTGTTGTCTGTTGTTGTTGTTGCTGTTGGTGATGTTGCCCAGGAATAAAGTAAAATAACTAATAGAAATTTATAAATTCTGTCGCAGAAATAATAGAAGATCAGATTCAGAAAACTCTGTCATCCGGATATATGCATCTACGGATTCCAAGTTTGTCCCAATTAAGGCACAAATCTACACTGACTATCGTCATCTAATTTCACCGTGATAAAAGAATGCTCTGTTTGAATCCATTCTCAAACTCGGTGTTGCTTTCATCTTCACTGTCGACATCAGTACACAAAGTGTATATACTACTGCTTCACCAGGATGCAGTCGCCTATCTGTCACTGCACCAACTTCTCAACGAAATTCCACTTCACCGATGCAAAACTCCACTACACTTGTCTGACAATAGGCGTTAATCATTAGCAGTGAATACGATTAAAATCACATTCCCTAGACAGATAGGAAGATAGATCAGCATAAACATTTTTTTTATAGAAGTTCATTACTTACATGTCAAACATCGTCTCCAAGCCAAGTTCACTTTTAACAGTTTGGAAAGAATTTTGGACATTGGGTATATGTAATTCATTATAATAAAGGTTTTATGTGTTTCCCAATGAATGAATAAAAAACAAAATGATATTATTGTTTTTATTGAGGTTTCACTATCTAAGGATGCTAATAGCTTTATCAAAGTATTATTATTAAACCAGAATTTACAAACTCCACTCAGCTTATATTTAACAACTTAATCATCACGTTGTCAAATTGGCCAATTGATAAAGATAAAATAGCCAAGTGTAGATTGTTAGATTTGATAAGTGTGTAAAATTATAAAAACAGCGTGTGTTTACATAATGAAATTACTTGTCACATTTGTGTTGATTTTGTCATTTCATGGGGGAGGAGGGTGTTGTAACCAAGTCAAATTCTGTTTTAGTTTATCATTCCTATTCAGACAGTTTGGATTCCACTTGATATGACGTGCTTCTGGTGATCTGAGACGTTCTTTGTGATTTCTGTAATCTTTCTGGATGATGATTCCAATATTTTCAAAATCAGTTTTGTGGCCTGATTCTATAGCATGTGGACGAGCTATGGCTGATGATTTTTCAAGCTAATCTAGATCAACTGGATTTACTTCTCGGTGGTCGAACAGATGAGGCTCTACGCTGTCCATTTCTTCTGATTACCTTGATTTCTCTCTCTCTAGCGATGTTTGTCCAGTGTATATCGCATCACATGCGCAATACATTCTGGACATTCAAGTTGCATGCACAGTTGTCATACATACATAAAAGTTAACAGACGGCGTACAGGATCAACATTTTATCAGTGTAGGTGAAAATGTTTACAAGTCACGATCACAGAGATAACAGGTAGACAAAAAAGGTGAGAAAAGCAAGGAGGGAGGGAGGGAAATGAAAATATTATTAATTAATACACACCTTGGTTTTAAAACTGGATCAAGTTCAAAGTAATAACTTTTGAACACATAAAACAGGTTTAAGCCTTTTTATGACTAAGGCTTCAATGAATCGGAACATATGACCCAAGCCTGTCCTGTATATATCAGTTTACAAACACTATTGAAATCTGCTTTATGAAATGTCTCCGTGAGGTGCTGAGCTATAGACAACATTGAACATCTACCTACAAGGTTAATCGAATCAGGCCATTTTATTTGTTCTTGCAGTCATTTAAAAGTGTATTCTGAAGCCATGACTCATGCAGACCGATTCGTTCTCCCTACTTTATTTTCTTACCCCCTGCTTGTGACTGCGACTCATAACTCAGTGACGATTATTCTAGAGTATTCTGTGCATTTTAATGTATATATGTATCTAATGCAAAACAAGTGATGCAGAGAAGAGACTCTTTTCGCCAACGAATTTATTAGCAAGCTGTACAATAGCATATGTATGGTTTGTAAGAAATTATATCCGGTGAGGGAATTGAATCGTAGGTGTGAATGCATAAAATAATAATAGTAGTATGAAATGTAACTAAAATGTTGGTGATTATAATCGTAGTTAAATGTTAAGTGGCAAAACAATTAATGTCATATATAGAATAATTCATAGGATGGATAGAACTCGAGTCGACCAACCGATGTACCTAGCTCCAAACGACCAGGTGAATTGATAAACGCACATAGAGTAGCGGGATCTTGTCCTTCAGGTTATTGAACAGTAATCGTCGACTAGTAAAGGGTATTCTCCAAGATGCAACAGGGAATTTTTTTTAAGTGATATCGGAAGGCAAGTCACCTTTGAATTCCAAGCTCAAGTATAGGATTCGAGTTTTTCCAAGAGGTTGCAAGAACATTATTCTGCCTGGTTACGAAGAGGTGGAAGTTGATCATTGAACATCTGGTGGATACTGATCATCTTATCTCTACAGCCTCCGCCTTTAAAGTCATCTACAAGGTGAAAAGTAATTTGCCAAAATCCCTACGTACGCGACTCGTCGATTCGCCCACTAATCCTATTATTGCACACCCCTTTCCAACATATATACATCCTGTGAATTGTTCTATATACGACATTAATTGTTTTGCCGCTTGACATTTAACTATGATTATAATCACAAACATTTTAGTTGCATTTCATACTATTTGATCGGTTGGAGGATTTCATCATGAGATGACATGAAATGGAGAACCACTGGAAAATTGGGAGTACTGGACAGCTGTTTCTGTTTCCCTTGTTTGGAACCGGCTTTTCAACAGTGCGCACTCACCGTGGTTCAAATCCAGAACTTTTTGGTTATAAGGTTAGCAAACTCGCAGACCACTAGATTGGGTCCCAGTGGCTTAATGGGCTACAAGCTCGCTAGCCTTGTAAACAGAA